TTATGAAGAAAAAAAATCACCCCCAAAGGGTTGGAGCCTCCTTAACTGCATTCACTCTCAGTCTCATGATCAAACTCAAAATCCTTTGGGCTTTGAATTTCATCACGAGACTCGCACGCCACACGGTGAAACAGACCGCTGGTACATATCATTGTACTCGTAGGGTGGCTAGTACGCTCAGGAAGTGAAGAGCTCTCTGCAGATCTGGTGTCTGGGAGACGACGCATCGAGCCTGCACTGTACTGTAGGCACTGGGCACAGCTAGCTGTTCTCGTGCTATGACTATAAGTATAAGCCTATTGACTATTGTTGAAATCACTGCATGCGTATTTCGGAGGCAAAGAGCATACGATTGACCTCGTTCCTTGCCAAACAGAGAAATAACAGTTAGAGGCTTTCAGTTGGGTGCGCACCAGGGAGTCGTGAAAGGGTTTTCTCTAGTTTTCTCGGCTCCCTGGACCCTGGTGCGCTTATCTGCAAAGGGCTCGCGGGTAGCTAGCAGTGGATCTACTCAGTACAAGACGTGTGGATAGTTGCTCTGAGTCTCAGAATATGATCTACTGTGAGGTGATCTTCGAAACGATAGGCTTGGCCATGACATAGGGTGACATGAATCAAGACTACAGTCATAATGATAACCCCCGCTCTTGAGTCTAGAATGATGATAAATGCAGCTGTGGATGTTGCATGGAGTCATTTTCCGCTATGGCGAGGTCGAAACCAGCTGCGATACGTCGCTTTGGTCACCAGACACTCGCTACTCCTTCCCGAGCTTCCGCCAAGCGCTGCTCCTTCCTTGTATGCGCTGCCGCCTTGCGTTCACCTCTGTGCGTGCGCTTGTGTGCATACGTGTGCACTTGACTTGGAACTCGAACTCAGTTTACCAAGGCAATGATGGTCTACGCAACACCGCGGTTTCGTGCGATGCCGGGAGGTTCGTTTTCGGAGGGGTCGCTCGAGTTAGGTTCTCGGAGACGCCCTTTCCAGACCGCCCGGCGCGACATATGTCATGAGAAGCATACGTAAACAACTCACCTACACGTACCGCCGTCGCACGCAGCGGTACAGTACGCACAGCTCGGTGGGAAGCGTGACAACAACGTGACCTATGTTCACGCCACGTCGAGCTAGTCTGAGCTCTGAGCGGCAGGCCGAGCACTGACAGTCTGTGGACTTGAGTCGTCGTTTACTTCCAGCAGCTGCTTCAACTACAAACAAAATTGTATCTCCTGCGTGCAGTGGATCTTGCTTTTTTGCCTGACAGATATCAGTCGAGCGAGCTCGAATCAAGACGACTACGCGTGGGTGTCCCAGCAGCTAGTGTCTCTGAATAGAGGAAGGCCGAGCTCGGGGAACACAAAGTGAGTTCGCGTGCGAGCTCCTGTTGCAGCTCGTATCCCGAAATCCCACTGCTCCAGGAAGCATCGGGTACCTGCAAAACTAGAGAAAACGGCACACCCGCAACTCGATACGGAACTTCAGGCAGGCGACGGTAGTAGATCAACTAGTACTAGCTGCACAGTCAGAAGCTTTCGAGTTATGCTTGCTGACAAGCGCTATCGGCCCAGCAGCACCGCCAGGTCGCTTTCATTCGGAGGCAAGGACCATGCCACGTCGGCATCCGAGCGCAGCGCTCTCCTAGTCGAGCGCCAGTCCCCCGGACTATCTCCGCTGCCCTCGCAATGTGGCTCACCACAGAGCGTGTTCGGCTCTGAGGAGTGCCTCTGGCGAGGTCATCCACTGTACGGGCGAGCCGAGTATCACTCCAAACCTCGTGCCTCCGTCACTGTGGCCCTGACACCCAGGCGTAGAAGTGTCGGGACCCTACCGAAGAAAAAGCCTTCCTGGTCGGGAAATGATCACAAAGGCAGAGGCAAGGTCCGACGCAACCTGTCGCGCCGCCACTCCATCTCGTTCGAGTCACCGCCGGTGCGGGAGCTGTCAAAACTGAAGGGCTTTTGCACACAGACGTCCCTGGAGGGCAGGCCTGGATTCGAGTTCGTGTGCAGTGAGCAGTTCCGAGAGAAGTACGACACGTACATGGGCCTTGACAAGGAGCCCACTGCCACTGGGAAACTGCCACGTTTTCTCATGCGACTGCAGTCCATGCTGTTTAGAAGCAATAGCAGGAGCAATGCATCTCAGCAGTCAGCACGGGATAACATCGGAGGCGGAGGCATGCAAGCATCCACCCCTCCCGGCAAGTCCAACACCTCCACACCGCACCATTCACCGTCACCACATGACGCCGCCTCAACCGGGAGGAAGCAATACGGAGTGTGCGACCTGTGCAAGGCCATGGACGGCAAACGCGTGCCGCAGAGGGCGCACGTGACAGAGCTGATTGACGCGAGAAAGCGCTTCAACCTTGGCCAGGACCAGGTCATGGACAGCGCAGAGAAACGAGCAAAGCCACGGCGCACGCTCACAGCACCATCGTTGAAAAGCCCTCAATCCGCACTGTCGCCGACGCCGCCACGAACGTGGAGGCAGTGGAGAAAGTCCGCTGTATATTCACCCCGTGCCAGGCGCTCACAATCTCAGCTGCCACGCAAGTTGGATTTCATCTTTGACGAGACGTACGCCTCGGACGGCCTCTGGATAAGCAGCAAAGGTCACTTTGCACTGAGTCTGGGCAAAGAGCAGCCTTTGGTCGCCCAGCCTGGCTTCAAGGAGGGTAGACACTCGTGGCGAATTACTGTCATGTCCAGCGCATCCGTTCCAAACGCACTAAAAGCTGTCAACGGCAATGCACAGCCGAAAGTGACTCCGCGAAAGGGCTGGAGAAAGAGGGTCAACTCCAGTGGATCGGACTACGCTCTCCCTTTAGACGCCATTCATATTTCCCCAAAGCTTGGCACGGAGAGAATACCTTGCTTCGCTGAAGAGGACGAGCTCATCAGCAGTCCAAGTTTTCTGCTGTCAGTCGGTCTGTGCCTCCAATCATATGTGTCTCAGCCTGCCTTCCCCGCTCATCGACCGACGATGGAGGAGACCGCCGCGCTCCGCGTGTCCGTACTGAAGGAAAGCAACAAAGCCAAGCAATCACCCAAGTCACCGCCCGCACCGCGTCACTCGTCCACTGCTGGACCACCGGCGTTATCTCGCAGTGTGTCTCTGTTGGACCGCTTCTCCTACAGGCGGTCCAGCTGCCAGACACTGGATGAAGACAGCGGTGACTCCAGCATGTGCAGTAGCGGCAGCGTCGTGCCAGACAACGTCTCTCCCAAGCTCGCTGAAGTGATGCAGACGGGCATGACCTGGAAGAGCGGCGATACGGGAACGGTTTCGGTCGACTGTACCGAGCAGTACCTTACCGTAACTAACCACTGCTCAGGTGAGGCGTACAGCTTACCGCTGGGTGATATGGTCAGCTACAACAACGTCGTCGATACTGAAAGCAGCGAGGAGAGTGATGATGATGATGATGATGACTTTGCGCTTGGAAATCGATTTCCATCGACTGTCGTGAATGGATTGGCACCCTACTCGGATGTTGTGCCAACCCCGTGCCGATCGCAGCACTTTGTCCGGACCAAGTGGCTGCACCCGTTCTTCGTCCTTCACGACCCGGCCATGGTACTGTTGATAATGCAGAGTTCCTAGTCAGTCTCAGTCTCCGGACAACAATCCACTTCAAAGTAGTCACAATAGCAGTTCTTGGCGTCTGAACCTGTCTTCCCAGCTCATCGGCTCGCAACGGAGAGATCACCTCGCCTCATCCCTGTTCGAACTTCCATGCCGATGCACCCTGTTGCCATAAATATCTCTTGTGTCTCTGGGCTCTTCTGGCCCATGCTCCACGTACCAGGTCAGTGTAACCAAATGCATGGCAAATAAACACGGGGATTCTAATCACATGACCCATGCTAGATGTCTTCTGGTTGGTCTGTCGCCATGAAGTTCCAAGCCAACTGATGGGGATAATTTGACTAGCCTTTCACAGCTTTACACCCGATCCTGTTTGGCAATAGGACATCTCGTGCCTGCACTGCAGTGATGTATTTGAGCAAATCGCACAGCCTTAAAATTCTTTGCAAACTTCATGCAGTCCAGCTTCCGGGACCTGTACCAGCCGAACCCGTGACGTGATGGCACCGGCTGGACTCATGCAGTAACAGTTAGGCCACAGTGTACAGGAACTGTGCGATTCACTTTACGATCTTTGTGCAGATCTGCTGATAGGGACATTTTTATATATAAATTCAATTGTTCCCCCGAGGCCATCCTAGATTCACGATGAAATAACCAAATTTACTTCTGAAATAGCTAGTCTAATTTTTAAATAGTTACGGCAACACCTGTTACAATTATGCTGCTAGGTACTACCAATAAGTCAATTCGAAATAACCTAAACTATGCTTGGCTTGTCGCAATTGAACATCAAGTCTCAGGTCCGCTTCAACTCATAATTATTTGAGTCAGTGTATACATGTACATACATAGTCGTGTGCCGCTTCTGCCATTGTGTCTGTGTGATCAGCCATGGCAACGAGAGGCGATCGAGTGTTTGGAAACAATATTAAATATTTTTGTGTTGCCTCCTGTATGTGTTAGAGCAGCTCAGTGTGATCCCGCATAGTGGTGTACCTTTGTAGGCAGTGACTACTGCACCTCTAGTTCTGGAGCACACTGAGGCGATGCACGCATTAAACTGACAGATCTACAGCAAAGAGTGGTACAAGTACCAATAGCAGCTATAATCATACTTGTAATGGACTTACTGCTCATCAATTTGAGGGAATGGAAATTTACTACTCCCTCGGATCTATCCACTGGGACATTTGCAGCATGCATATGCAGTTCAGCTGCAAGTCGTTTAATGCCACAAGCATACCAGACCCAGTGTGAAAGCAGAATGCACAAGGCATCCAGGACACACAGTGCAGATGCCACCATGTGAGCAACTGACTGACAAGAAGAGAGAGAGAGAGAGAGAGAGAGAGAGAGAGAGAGAGAGAGAGAGAGAGAGAGAGAGAGAGAGAGAGAGTCAGAGAGTCAGAGAGTCAGAGAGTCGATCTGCAAGAGTGCTTCAAGTGAAGTTGTGCCAAGCACCATGCTAGAACTATCACCTGGCACTCTACAGGCCTAGGTCAATGAAGACCGTTATTCATGGGTCCTGGACAGTCGCTGACACTTAATAATCTATACATCTACTACTGTAGTACAGAAAATCACGAAGTACATCGTCAACGAAAAGGCATTGCCCCCTGTAGAGCCTTTTGGTATACAGTGCAGCCTATATTAGATTCATCAATGCAGGCCCATCCACTCAATATGAACTACATGCACCGCGTTTACAGTCTTTCAGAATAGGACTGACGTGCTGGCTTCTCCCATGGCTGCCAGTAGCCTCCGTGAGCGGCAAAGTACGCACACGCCTCCTTTGCAACGTTCGGCAACGTATGCTGGTTGTGGTAGCCTTGGTCTTGCTCATCGCGAGGCTCGTCGGCGTACTTCATGTACCGTGCGAGTAAGCTCTTTGCAATGTCTGGCTGAGTGGTGTAGAGGTCCGTCGTTTCCGTCGGGTCCTCGATGATGTTGTACAGACAGTAGGGATCACAGTCTGGTAACGCCGGGCCCTTCGAGCATGGGTAATCAGGCGGCGAGTGCATCAACGAGTCGCAGCCGTCCTGCTGCTTGCCCACAATCAGTTTGTAATCGCCGACTATGATGGCCCCCTGGTCGGGATTCGAGTGAGTGTAGTTAAAGCCGAGAATGATCTCATCGTGGCTTGTCTGATTCGTGTCGCCGCTGAGAATCGGCCACACGTCCATGCCATCGACTGGGAATTTTCCCGGACCAGTATCGTTAGCGTCGACGCCGGCCATGCGGCAGAACGTCGTGTACCAGTCAGCAACGTGTATAAAACCTTGCAGCTTGGTGCCGCGCACCTTCTCGGGCAGAACCCCGCCGCTGGCAAACGCGCTGCTCCGCACGCCGCCCTCGAAGAACGTCTTCTTGCTGCCCTTCAGCGGGTGATTGCTGCCGATGCAGAGCTCTCCGCCGTTGTCGGCCGACACGACGATGAGCGTGTTGTTCCACATGTTCTTCTCCTTGAGGTGCTGCACGACCAGCGCAGTGACATTGTCCGCAATACTGACCATGGCCTGGTAGGTACGACGGCTCTTGCACGTCGAGTTCACCGCGTACTTGTTCAGCCACTCGTCCGGGGCTTCCAGCGGTGCGTGTACGTTGTGCAGAGAGAGGTACAGGAAGAACGGGTCCTGCGGGTTGTGCTTCTCGAACAGCTCGTTCACAACGGAGCAGTACGTGTACGCGTCGTACGTGCCATTACGCGGATCTGGAGCTTTGTTCGTCCAGAAGTCAGTTCCACACTGCACTCTCTGCGTGATGTGATCCTCGCCGCCCGTAAGAAATCCAGTCATTGTGTCAAATCCACGGTTCACGGGTAGGTAGTCTTCGCTCTTCACTCCTAGATGCCATTTACCTATCATGTGTGTCGAGTAGCCAGCTTGTTTGAGCTTGGCCGGCATGATGGTGAAGTTCAGATTCATTCCCAGATCGACGGTTTGTGGTACGATGTTCCACTGATGCGCGTGATGTGGAAATCGCCCACTCATCAACGAGCCACGACTCGGTGAGCAGTACTTGAATACGTAGTGACGGTCCAGAATCACTCCTTTCTGCGCCAGGTCGTCGAACATTGGACTCTTTATGGCTGGATTACGGAATCCCACATCGCCATAGCCCCAGTCATCCACCATGACAAACACGATGTGAGGTTTGGTCGGAGGCGGCGTTTGAGAGGCAGCAAGCGACGCCACCGCAACAATCAACGTCCATAAACTCACTGCCATAGCCATCATTAGTACCTGTATGCCACAGGTCGTAGAGTCTACGCAAAACTAGCGCGCACCACCGATGCCAATGGACACGTTCTGATCCAACTCGAAGAAGAAAAATCTTGTGCATTCAAAAATACACCACGATCCTCCTCCCGGATCTCTTGGATTTGGACACCGTGGGTTAGTGCAGCCTGTCTTTGTGGTATAGTAGATCTACAGTGCTGGCAACTGAAATCCGACCCCCTGAGCGGTGGGTTCACATTCTTTGCGATGTGAGCGCACCGCTCAGGGGGTCGGATTTCAGTTGCCAGCGCTGTACATGATCTGACTGTAATGAGTTGTGCTATGCATGATGTTGTAGCACATTCTGACACAGTGCTGGCAACTGAAATCCGACCCCTGAGCTGTGCGCTCACATCGCAAAGAATGTGAACCCACCGCTCAGGGGGTCGGATTTCAGGTACCAGCACTGTAGTTTAGTTACACTCTAGCCTACAGTCAGTGCATGAATGTACAGTCACGTGAGTGCTGCTCAATGAAGTCCAGTCGAGTTACTCAAAGGGGAAGTTAGTTAAGGCAAAAATTAAAATTTCACCAGTTGTAGTCTTCGGGGTGCTGAGTCGAATGGTCGTGGTCCGAGGAAGCTGAGACGCTCCCTTCCTACTTGAATCCCAATCGAACTCGCGCACTTCCACCGAAACTGGGTGACTGCGCCCTACTAGATGGGGATTTGTATGCAACATGTCACTAAAAGCGCCATTTCGTTCTTATAAAAGCACGGATGACCGCGATTGGCTCATATGTTGTAGCTTTTTGGACGCTGAGTCGACTGGTTTTGGTCCGAAAAGGCTGCGATGCGGCGTTCCTCCTTTATTCCCAATCGAACATGGTTGAAGAAGTGGTCACGTGCTCCTGCGTACACCAGTCACCTGGTCACCGTGCCTGCAGGGTACAACTTAGTTACTTACTAGCCTGTTTGACCTTTTTTGGGTGCAGTCCTGTCACTCGAGTTGAACTCGAGTTGAACCTTGGTGTGAAAGTTGTCACCTGCTGGCGTGGTGACCAGGTGATTTGGGTACCCAGGACCACGTGACTGCTTCTTCAACCATGTTCGATTGGGAATAAAGGAGGAACGCTGTATCGCAGCCTTTTCGGACCAAAACCAGTCGACTCGGCGTCCAAAAGACTACAACATATGGGCCAATCGCGGTCATCCTTGCTTTTATAAGAACGAAATGGCGCTTTTAGTGACATTTTGCATACAAATCCCCATCTAGTAGGGCGCAGTCACCCAGTTTCGGTGGAAGTGCGCGAGTTCGATTGGGATTCAAGTAGGAAGGGAGCGTCTCAGCTTCCGGTTCCTCGGACCAAGACCATTCGACTCAGCACCCCGAAGACTACAACTGGTGAAATTTTAATTTTTGCCTTAACTTCCCCTTCAAGACCAGTCAAGTGCGAGCTGGTCACTTCACTCATCCGTACTAGGCCTTGACGGATTATGCTAGCATAATTTTTCGCATAATCCCTACCAAAATCGAATAATCGCATAATTCGAGGCAAATTGCATACGAATCGCATAAAATTGTAATAATCCGCCTGTTCGCATCAAATTCCATACAGTTGTACATGTTCTACAAGTACAAGTACAAGTAGATGCACTAGGAAGTTGTAGGTTTACGACTCCCTTGATAACATGTCCAGTCCTCGTACAATCAGTGATGGTCGTAGCTAGGTCGGACGGTGCGTTGACCCCGTTGAACTTTTGTTACTACAGTACAACGCCCTCTACAAAAAAATTCCCCTGTTATTTTGCACAGAACCATTATGCATTAGCAGCATATGTGAGCATAATGCAGCATAATATGATAACTTTTAGCATAAAAATAGCATAATTCTGCAATTTTTTCAGCAATGCGAAAAGCATAATTTCACGAAAATATTAGCATAATCCGTCAAGGCCTAATCCGTACCAGGGTCGGTCGGTCGCGGTCGGGTTTATTTTTATTTTATTTTATTTTTTATTTTGGTTACTGCCATGTATACAATCATGTACATGTATGTGCATACATGTACAATTGTGCATATCGAATAGCTTTTGTCCATCAAGCCAGTCGATCAAATCATGACTGTAGACGATCCAGCGCAGCCATTGTCATTGTCCCATCAGACCCAGGTCCCCACCAGACCTTGGCCTCGCTGGCAAGCGAGTCTGAGGAGCAGCTCTCACCTTGAAAACGTCTGTCAAAGAGCGACGCGGTGGCGGAGCTGATTCTGTTTCAGGACCGATTGTGGATCGGAAGACAACATCGTCACCAAGCGCTTCATCCTGTTATTTTATTTGGCTGCTTCTGAAGTCGATGTCTGGACTGCTAGCTATTATTAGGCGCGTGTGTACAGTCATGTTAGTACATAGTCTAGTCATGCACATTTGCATGCACTATAAAAAAAACTTTTTGCGGTCGGGTGAAAAAAGACGGTCGGTCGGGTGACCCGAAACAACGAATTAATTCTGGGTGGCCTTTATAATATTAATAGAAGTAATTTTTAGTTACTTGACACAAGGGTGTTCATTGTTATCATGGCCCGACCCTGGCCTGGGACTAGCCAACCGCGAGCCAGTGTGTTTCCCCCTGCCTTATGCTTGCGCTTGTACATGTACTAGTAGTGGGGCTGTGCACAAGTGCATAATATCCTGCTAGAAACAAAGGAAGCACAGAAGTCCAGATTCTAGTTCAGGAACTAGTGGATTCTTTTTGTTCAAGAAGAAAGAGCATTAGAACATTATTATTATTATTATTATTATTATTTATTGCAACATCTCAAGACTCGGCGGAAACACCGGCCAATATTACGAGAGTGGGTGATTGCCAACCACGGCGATAAATAGAAAGAAGGGGAGGGAAAAAGAAAGAGTAGCAAAACGAACAGCAACAACAACTCCGTAAAGAAAGATAATGTCAAATAAAAACAGTGAAAAACACAGAGACGCAAAGGACATGTGGATAATGAGCTATGCATGTCGTAGTAAATAAGGGGCGGCACGGATCTTAAACAGGCGGAGTGAGGTCAGGTCCTTAACTTCTCTGGGTAGAGTGAGCCAAACAGAATAAGCAATAAAGAGAGGGGAGCGCAAAAGAGTGGATGAGTTACACTTAGGGAGTAAGAGTGAGTTTCTAGTTCTTAGAGAAGAGAACCAATTAAAACACATGAGATGAGGTGGGCACAACTCAAGCTTAATAGAATGGACTAGAGAAGCCAGGTGTGCACTGCGTCCATGTGATAACGGGGTTGTGTGAGCGATTTTATAAAGGGCGGATGATGAGAGCATGCGGGGTTGACGGAGGAGAATTTTAAGGATTTTCTTGTGATGTATTTCAAGCTTTGCAGCAGCGGAAGAGGATAACCCAACCCAAGACGTATCTGCATAATGAAATATTGGGCGAAGGTAGGCGAAATAAAAAAGAAGCTTGCAAGAAAGTGGGAGGTAGGAGCAGTGGGGGGAGAGAATTCCTAAGGATTTACTTGATTTTTTACAGATATATTCGATGTGAGGTACCCAAGAGAGTGCAGAGTCAATCACAATGCCAAGGTGTTTGTGAGAAGACACTATGTCAATTGGATTTGGAAAGTTGGCATGGATGAGGGTTGTGAACTCCGGCTGGGGCGGGAAGAGCATGATCTTTGTTTTTGATAGATTTGGGGACAACCTCCAGGACGACATCCAGGAAAGAACTTCCTGAATGCCAGCACGCAAGTTGTTTTTCAGGCCAGTGAGGGAAGCTGATGAGGTGAGAAGGGTCGTGTCGTCAGCAAACAGAGACGTTCCAGGGAAGACTGCAGGTAAGTCGTTTACGTAAATTATAAATAGTAGGGGACCAAGAATTGATCCTTGAGGAACGCCCGACAATACTGGCTCTGCAGCCGAGGATGTGCCAAGCACAGTTACGTACTGATAACGCCCAGAGAGATAAGATTTCAGCCAGGAGAGTGGCTGTTTGCGTACCCTGAATGCATGCTCGAGCTTTGCCAAAAGTCCTCGATGCCAGACGGTATCAAAAGCCTTGGCCAAGTCAAAGAAGCAAATGCCAGCAAGCGCTCTGTTATCCCTATGCTGGCACACCTGCTGCACGATGCGGGTCAGTTGAAGAGAGGTGGAGTCGCCTTTACGAAACCCAGATTGTGCGGGACTCAGAAACGGCGAAACATGTCTGTATAAGTGGTCATAAAAGATGCGTTCACATACTTTGGACACGCAGGGAAGAAGAGAGATAGGGCGGTAGTTTGCAGGTTCGTGGCGGGAACCTTTCTTGAATACAGGTATGACTTTCGCTGTTTTCCATGCGGAAGGGAATATGCCCGTGGTAAATGACATGTTGAAAATATGGCACAAAGGGAATGCTATGGATGGTGCCAGGGCCTTGAGGACCCGGTTGGGGATGCCGTCAGGACCAGACGCCTTGCACGTCGGAAGCTTCTTCAGATGACGCCGGACAGTGGCAGTTGTGGTGATGACGGACGTGAAACAAGCTGAGGGCTCCGAGGGGGTGAGAATAGGGGGAATAGAGAGCAACGGGTCATCTGGCCGAGTCACAGAGGCAAACTGGGCGTTTAATGCCGTAGCTTTGGCCAAAGGGTCAGCCGCCTGCTGAGTCCCTGTTGTGAGTGACGGAATTTCCCGTGATACGTTTCGAATTCTTGCTTGTCTCACAAACTGGTGAAGCGATGGACGGTGTCTACCCTGCAAAGTAGTTTTCATTGAGCGGATATAAGCTCTGTACTTTGTCCGCGTCAGGGTTTTCACTATATTTCGCTGCTGTTGGTATGCTTGTTTGTTTTGTTGTGTTGGGTACTTCCTAAAAATGCTATAGAGATCATATTTCCACTTGATTGCTGTGCGGAGATGGGCATCAACCCAGGGTGGCTGACTGGGCCGTGGGCAGCGGTGAGAATACGGCTGCTTTCCGAATGGCCAGAGGTGCTTCTCAAGGGCACTGTTGAGAATGGAAGAAAAGTGTGAAAGCGCATCATCGACGTTGCTGGCACGCAGGTGCCAGCTCCAGTCAATATCAGAGAGCTCTGCATTCACACTATCCCAGACGGAAGATGGCACGGATTTAAAGTCATATTCCGGCTTTGCAGGAACATTGCTGAAGTGGCTTTGGGGTGCAGCAGCGGGATGTCCGCTTGCAGCAGGTTCCTCACGGTAAACAGCATCAGTAGGCAGTAGGAAATGACTGAGGATCTGTGCGTGGTCAGATGCACCAAGAGGAGCAACAGATGTAACAGAGAGTAGTAGGTGAGGATGATCCGTGAGTACAACGTCAATACACGATGTTGAGCCGTGGGGGGTAAAGTGTGTGGGGAATGTCACCATTTGCTCAAGGCCAAAACAAGAGAAGAGGTTACGGAACTCCCTTCCAGCACGATTCGTGGTGTCACTAGGAGACCAGTCAGAGTGGCGAGCATTCAAGTCTCCTGCAAGTACAATCGCCGAATTGGGAAGGCTAATAGTGGACAGACAGTCCTCTAGGAGGTCACTAAATGCCTGGACTTGGGAGATGCTGTCTCCAGGGGGTCTGTAAACAGAGCAGATGATGAGGGGGAGTGAGGGAAGGATCACTGGCCGCAATTCGAGCCAAACCGCCTCCAGTCCACAGCGCTCAAGGTCGAAGCGGCGCTTGATGGACATGAACGATCTGTCAGCTACAAGAGTAGCAACACCGCCATAGCCTCTTGCTGGCAGGTTATCAGAGCTGGTCGTGGGTGGGCGGTCCAGGCGGTATGACGTGTAGCCTGGAATTGAGACGTCTATGGCAGCTGTCAGCCACGTTTCACATAGGCAGATTATGTCTGGAGAATACTGCTCACAGACTTGACTAAGCTCAGCTAACTTATTTACTATGGAGCGGCAGTTAAGTGAGAGCACTGAGAAGGACATGGGAACAAGAGGAGAGAAGAATAGAAGCGCATCGGATTAGTGGACTGTGGCAAACAGCACACAAATCAACAGCCTGTTGGGAATATTACTGTCACTACCGTACATCCCAAGGTGAATTTTAAAGAAGCTTCCATGTACCATTTGCTAGTAAAAGCATTCATGGTTGGATTGCTTTGGATTGGTTTATTTAATGTCGAAGAACAAACAGGCAGTGTTGCCTTATTACATGAGATCGACTACAGGCACACAAAATTAATAATTAAAAGGAAAAAGGAAAAGACTAAAATAAAAATAGAGTAGGGTTTAAGACAGCAGAGGAAAGATTACATAATCATTTTTGATCAGTGAGCAACGTTTATAGCCAGTGAATTTTCAGGTGGGATAAAAGAGCGATCCGGAATGAACCGGGTTTCTCCAGTGATCGTATACATGTACATGTAGATGCAAGCAACTTATTCCAGAGAGCGGGACATTGATATGAAGGACTGTGTGTGGCGGTTCGCCTGAGGCTCAAATAGACTGAGCTTACCGCACCCATACTAGGAATGCCACCACCCTCCAGGCTTGTAGTAAGTACTTGAAGTAATATCGTAAAGCACAGTGCAACGAAATGAACCATTATAGTGTGCGTAGACCTTGTGCACTTTGTCAAAATTAACGTTACATCATCGCAAGCTTTCCATGTGGAACACAAGTGAGATGCAACAGGTGACCTTCCTTCAGTCAGTGGAGTGAAAAATATGCTTGCGTTTCTTCACCAGGTTACTGTGCATAAAGACCTGATGGTCACGTTCGATGGGCACATGGCTCTTCTGTAGCCATTCTTCCATCTTGATCAAGTCGATATCGTCACAAATGGCTATTTCTCCCTCTACAAAGTTAATGGCAGTTGACAGTGATATGCCAGGGTGTGTGGGGCTGCATAGTCGTCGGTGTTTACATCCAGGGTCGGTAGTACCCGCCGTGTGCGGCAAAGTAAGGACATGCCACGTCCTTGGCATCGGGCAGTGCGCCCTGCACATGGTACCCCTGATCTTGCTCTCCACGGGGCTCCTCGGCGTACTTCATGTAACGCTTGAGAAGCGACTGCGCAAGGACGGGCTGCGAATGGTACAGATCGGTGGTCTCACGCGGGTCCTGGCGGATGTTGTACAGGCAGTTCGGATCGCAGTCCGGCGCTTCCTCGCCTTGCGAGCAGGGGTAGTCGAGCGGCGAGTACATCAGAGTATCGCATCCACCCTTGTTATGCCCAACGATGAGCTTGTAGTCGCCTACGATGATTGCGCCTTGCTCGGGGTTGCCTGCTGAGTAGTTGAAGCCCAGGACAATCTCATCATGGCTACTCTCCTTCTCCTCACCTGATAGCAGCGGCCACACATCAACTCCATCAACGGGGAATTTCCCTGGACCGCTGTCGGCGGGATCGACGCCGGCCAGCTTGCAGAACGTCGGATACCAGTCCGCGATGTGAATGTAAGCATCCAATGCCGTCGTGCGCATCCTCTGCGGCACAAGGCCGCCGTTGACGAACGCCCGACTGCGCACGCCGCCCTCGAAGAACGTGCCCTTGCTGCCTTTCAGCGGGTAGTTGCTCCCGCCGCACGCTGCACCTCCGTTGTCGGCCGACACCACAAACAGCGTGTTGTCCCACATCAGTTTCTCTTTAAGTCGCTGCACGACCAGGCCGGTGACGTTGTCGGCCACGCTGACCATGCCCTGATATAGTCGTCTCTGCTGGCACGTGGTGTTCGGGTACAGGTTCACCCACTCGTCCGGGGCTTGAAAGGGTGCATGCACGTTGTGCAGCGACAGGTATAAGAAGAACGGATCCGTAGCGTTGTGCTGGTCGAACAGCTCGTCGATGACGTCACGATACGTGTACGCATCATAGGTACCGTTTCGTGGGTCGGGTGCGCGGTTCGTCCAGAAATCCGTGCCGCAGCCGTCCCTCTGTGTGATATGGTTCTCGCCGCCTGTAAGACATCCAGTCATTGTGTCAAATCCACGATTCACGGGTAGGTAGTCTTCGCTCTTCAATCCTAGATGCCACTTGCCTATCATGTGTGTCGAGTAGCCAGCTTGTTTGAGCTTGGCCGGCATCGCTGTGAAGTTGAGATTCAGCCCGAGAGGAACAGTTTGCGGTACGATATTCCATTGATGTGCGTGATGTGGCCATCGTCCACTCATCAACGAGGCTCGACTGGGTGAACAGTACTTAAACACATAGTGACGGTCCAGCTGAATTCCCTCGTCGTTCAGCACATTGAAGGTTGGCGAGGAGATGTTTTTATTGGCGAATCCGACATCGGCATAGCCCCAATCATCAACCAGAACGAAGACAATATGAGGCTTGACGGCAGCAGCAGCGGCTGCAAATGCCACAAGGGCCACCAAGGCAAGTCGAATCATGTCCTTCTTCTTGATACAACACCCGTCGGTGTTGTTCTCGTTTGAAATAACTCAGCGGCCACGGTAATTCATTTTATAGTCGCTCTAGCGCCTTCGCTCAAGCGCCTTCGCTAATTGTTTCTCAAACTGTTTTCCCTCACACCGAACGACGGATTTCTTGCGGTCGAACTCACGATCAGCTCAGAATGAATGAAAGAGATCCTGTCTCCCCAGACGTCCCTCGTCTGATCCTCACGGATCTATCAACAATGAATAGCGTGGACATCTGCCAGTTGGGAATGTGACGTCAGGCAAAGGGAGTGGTGACGTCGCTGAAAATGATTCTCTGCACATCTGCGCAGCGGCGGCAAGGTGCGTTTTGATGTGCCGACATCCTCCTGCTGTAGCCGGATTCGGGGACTCTACTTGCAAGACGCTTGAAAATCCGCACCGCAAGCCTGCGCTGTCTGCAAGAAGGTTCACTGGCTGTAAAGTACTCGCCTACTACTCGGTCATAAACCATCTTGGAAGGTCAGGGTGTGATGGGTGGGGAAGTCGGCGATGCGACGTGACAGATCATTCTGCAATGAAAGAAACTCTTGCACACTATCCGCGAGACCAGCATATGGTGTTTGTTGGTTACGGACATGTTAGGAGCTGAATTGCAAGACCTCCATGCATCAACTCAACTCACAAGTAGCGACAGAGCTTGCGAGCTTGCGACGAGTTGGGAATGCAATAAATCCATGCATCAAGACCAGATAGACCCTAGTAATAGACGATCTGCATTTCGATCAAGATATCGTAGGATGAAGAGCAATTACAGGCTGGCCATCATTCCTACTTCCAATTCCCAATTAACCACTTCAATGGAAGCCTTTGCTGACGGCATGCCGCAACCTCCTCTCAAGGTCGGCCAGAACTGGTGTATTGGTTGACGGGTTTAGGAAGTTGAAAAAAACCCGACTTGATGTGTCTATTGCCATGTGAAAAACTGTCAGGAGTTTATTATAGTGCAGAAAGGCAAGCCAGAGACATGCCAACGCATTGTACATGTAAATAGTCCTTGACTGCGTGCATGGGGTGCTTTGTTAATAAAGCATGGCCAGAGCAAGGGACTTCCAAAGGCGAGGTTGCAGGTTCGATCGATTCCCACTACACTCGCACATGCATCTCTCTTATCCGGACCTCCCTCGGATAAAAGAGATATGCGTGTAGTGTACCCCCCCCCCCCGTGTATGCACAAATGCAGTTGATTATTCCCGCCACTGGATGTGACTGGAAGGCCCACCTGGTATATTGTATTGCCATGGCCCATGGGCACCGGGCTTTACTTAGGGAGATTGGCCAGTAAATTATTGTGTCCGTTCCCGAAGGGAACTCACGATGGCCACCAACACCCGGTAAACCCTAGGGAGGCTGGCAAGGGCGACGAAGAAGAGGAGAACCAGATTGGCACTGACCTGATGATGCCGACCTCATTACAAACCAGAGATATGAACACCTCCTCCTGCCCCCTACTTGTACGCATAGAGTTGACCATGCCGGGCTAGTTTCACCTTCACTGTCCTTTTAACTAAACAGCGTATTTATAGGGGAAGAGTGTGCTCGCCGAAGTCGCACCAACCTCTTCTTCACAGCGTATTCATAAAAAGGGAATTGTGTGTTGCTCCCTACATGGGAGCTCGCGCTTTTCCTGCCGACTTGAATTCTCACTTAGCACACGAGAAGTCCATCGAACCGTCCACTCAGCAACCCTGCAAGAAAGCACCACTCCCTGCTCAATACAGCGTCTCGGGGAATTCACCCCTCATCAGTTGAGCTTGAGTAGGCTGAGGAAGATTGTACCAAGAGTCCATAACCCCCCGGGGGGTTATGGACTCTTGATTGTACCTGTCTAAAAGCGCGAGCTCCCATGTACAAGACACGTAGTGTACGTGCAGGGGGTGTCGGAAGGTTTCAACATTGGTACAGTCGTCCCTCTCTAATCCGGCACTTGTTTATCCAGCACCCTTGCAAACCAGCACACTTTCTGGCAAAACGGATTTTTTCAGTTCTTTTTCTACCCTTTAATCCGGCACTTGAATTCCGCCTCCAGCAGCGATTTTCTGCAACAAATCACTCAAACTGTACATAATTTGATTTTCTAATCCAGCAGTTGTACATCGCATACTGTCAGGGACCATTGTAACATACACAACACATGTAACATACATTTGGGAATATCCTATGCTAGTGCATAAGATATTCCCAAGTGTATGTTATAGACATGCATTCTATGATTCCACAAAGTACTTGGTTTGACACAGAAAATCCCTATGTTTTGACATACGACACAAACATGTATGGTAACATGTGGGCCGGGTTGGAGGGCAGAATTCGATAATCCAGCACCTTTGTTTATCCAGCAGGAAATTCCATTGCAAAAGGTGCCGGATTAGAGAGGGACGACTGTATAGTGTGACCATGAAAGGCTCTCCCCTAGGAAAATTTAGGAAAGGGGGCCAAAAAGCCAATAATTTTATTTCTTAAAAATCACAGAATAATAAATTATTGTTGGTGCCCGCTTTGCCTTTAAACTTTGGCTGCATGTGCCGCACCGGTCCTGACGCCCCAAACTTGGGCCAAAGCATCTGTCGTGTAATGACTGATACGTCTGCACAACTCCATCACTCGGCATCAGTCCATGGCGCAAACGGTCGTGTTGTGGACTTTTCGGGTCACTTTATCTATATTCCATTGCGACAAGAGGAAAAATACATCCTGGCTCAAGCGATGAAATTATCTTGCTTGTCACTGCGGGTAGTCTAGTTATCTAAGGATTGAGTGATCAGCCAAGGCGAGGAGAGTCAATACGTTCGCAAAGGCTCATCCAACTCCAAGGAGCGCTTTCAGACTCCCAATACCGTTGATGATGGATCGCCTACGGTCTTGTTTGCTCGCCGTCTTCGCATTGGTCTCACTGGCAGCGTCTGAAGCACCACAAGCCTCCAAACCTAATATCGTGTTCGTCCTGGTCGATGACTGGGGTTACGCAGACGTTGGTTTCAGGAACCCAGCCATCAAGAGTCCGATGTTCGATGAGCTCAAGTCCACAGGAGTTCTCCTGGATCGCCATTACGTATTCAAGTACTGTTCACCTAGTCGTGCCTCGTTGATGAGTGGACGATGGCCACATCACGCACATCAATGGAATATCGTACCGCAAACTGTTCCTCTCGGACTGAATCTCAACTTCACGGCAATGCCGGCCAAGCTCAAACAAGCTGGCTACTCGACACACATGATAGGCAAGTGGCATCTAGGATTGAAGAGCGAAGACTACCTACCCGTGAATCGTGGATTTGACACAATGACTGGATTTCTTACGGGCGGCGAGGATCACAACACGCAGAAAGTGCAGTGCGGAACGGACTTCTGGACGAACAAAGCTCCAGATTCACGTAACGGCACGTACGATGCGTACACATACCGTGATGTGGTCGACGAGATATTTGATTCGCACAACGAAGAAGATCCCTTCTTCCTCTACCTATCACTACACAATGTTCACTCTCCGTTCGAAGCTCCAGATGACTGGGTAGACTTGTACCCTGCTAACTCGACGTGTAAGCAGAGGCGCATCTACCAAGCCATGGTCAGCGTGGCTGACAACGTCACAGCTCTAGTAGTGCAGCACTTGAAGGCGAAGGGAATGTGGGACAGTACGTTGTTCGTAGTGTCCGCCGACAATGGAGGGGCACCGTGTGGAGGTAGCAACTACCCACTCAAGGGCGCTAAAGGAACGTTTTTCGAAGGCGGTGTTCGCAGCCTAGCGTTTGCCAACGGAGGTCTTCTTCCAGAGAAGATGAAAGGAACATCGGTCGAAGGCTACATCCACATCGCCGACTGGTATCCGACATTCTGCGGACTGGCTGGTGTGGACCCAACTGACACTGGTCCAGGGAAATTCCCCGTGGACGGTGTGGATGTTTGGCCACTGTTGACTGGAGCGGCCACACAAAGCACGCACGAGGAGATTCTACTGGGCTTCAACTTCACAGAAGCCGATCCCGATCAAGGCGCCATCATTGTGGGCGACTACAAGCTTGTTGTGGGGCAGCAGAAGGGACAGTGCGACTTTCTGATGCACTCGCCACTCGACTACCCTTGCACACAGGGCCCTACTCTACCCGACTGCAATCCCAATTGCCTGTACAACATTAAAGCGGATCCGCGCGAAACAAGCGACCTCTACCATTCCGAGCCGGTCATCGCCAAGCAGCTCCTGGCACGTTACATGAAGTACTCCGAGGAGCCACGTGACCAGCAAGACCAAGGCTATCACAACCAGCACACGCTGCCCAATGCAGCGTCAGTGGCTTGTCCGTACTTTGCCGCCCATGGGGGCTACTGGCGCCCGTGGCTAAGCGGAGGACAGTGAAGCTGAGCCAAAGAAGGCAGTCCCAAGCTGAGTGACAATGGCATACAAATTTCGTCTTTAATCGTCTTTAGCTTTTCAAAATATTTAAAATTTCAACTCTTTATTGGTATCATTTTGTTCATTAACGCAACAATCTCTCCCCCCCCCTCTTTTCCATGCTTTCTCAGCCAACACGGTGCTACTGTCGGTAGCTATTACAGTAACAAAATGCTAAAACATTCCAAACAGCGAAGGGGTTACGGATACTTGTGACAATTTTTGTAGACAATCTGCTCAAGCTATGTATCATTGCTGGAAGGCGGACAGGACCACTTACGTGCAACAAGTAGATGGCATGCATTGGTTCGTGGCTACAGTTATCTTTTCTTCAATTTTCCCCCATATCAGTTAATCGATTTGATTCTCAGAGACGCCTTTCAACCTCACTCGCCTTCTCCAGGCCACTATTATGTAGTGTGCTCTTGAGGTAGAAACTAATGTTACTTCCTCAGCCTACTCAAGCTCGAATGATAAGGGATGAATACCCTGATAGACATTGGCCTAGTGGACTTACTGCTGTATTGAGCAGGGGTGATGGTCTCTTGCAGGTTCGCCGAGTCGAAGGTTGGATGGGCTTCTCGTAACTGTTATGCCTTGGATGGCCACCGTGGGGCAATCATCATGTCACATGATGTGTCAAGTCAACTTCTGGGGAAAATGCGAGCGCTAACGTTGAGAGCAAGCTAGCTAGAATGTACAATGTCATGTAACTTCCAGACAATCCACGTGATCGTTCCCTGGGATTGAGCAAATCAGAGCGCTCACAGGCGGGGCCTGAATCCCTCCTGGTCATGCTCTGCTTGCCAGCCCTTCTACTGGTGCACCTTAGCTTACGCGGGCATAGTGATCACGTGAATGTGGCGTGATGGTATCTTTTTCTCTACGAAATGTTCTCTCCGCGAAGTACACTGAAGAGACCAATGCATTTGTGAAGACCTTTCGGCGCATAATAAGCAGCTACCAAGGGAGATGCCTCTGATGGTGGAGTGGGCCCGGTGGGACATACTAAGCTCTGCCGAATGTATACGAGGTATACTCACGAACGGGCCTACAATTGTAGTCATATAATGGTATCGTCCGAAACACTGTTTTTCTTTTCCTCATCCGTCAAACCAGTGCATATCGGTACAATAATTTAATTATAATATAATGCCATGTACACAATCTGCGGACAGCATGCTGTTTCGTTCTTTGTGAACTCATCAGCGCAGATGTAGTTTCAAATCATCCTCGTTGTCTGTGACCATTGAGGTGAGCACCCGAGGCTATCGTGTATGGGAAAAAAACGTGTGGAGGAAGATCGATCTCACTGCATACATGTTGTATACTATAATTATGACATTGTATTTCTTGATCATTACACGTGGCATTGGCACATGATGTGCACATCCGCCGACTAGCATCATTGTGACGAGGTAAGCAACCTTTACTTTAGGTGGTTCTCCTTCTAACACTTACATGAAGTAACAGTACACGTACATGTACATGCACATACATGTATATTTAGAAAAGCGATCCTGTCAGCTTTTCTATTTAAAGGGGAAGTATACCCTAAAATCAAATTTTCACCAGTTGTAGTCTTCGGGGTGCTGAGTCGAATGGTCTTGGTCCGAGGAAGCTGAGACGCTCCCTTCCTACTTGAATCCCAATCGAACTCGCGCACTTCCACCGAAACTGGGTGACTGCGCCCTACTAGATGGGGATTTGTATGCAAAATGTCACTAAAAGCGCCATTTCGTTCTTATAAAAGCACGGATGACCGCGATTGGCCCATATGTTGTAGTCTTTTGGACGCTGAGTCGACTGGTTTTGGTCCGAAAAGGCTGCGATGCAGCGTTCCTCCTTTATTCCCAATCGAACATGGTTGAACAAGCGGTCACGTGCTCCTGCGTACACCAGTCACCTGGTCACCGTGCCTGCAGGGTACAACTTACTAGCCTGTTTGACCTTTTTTGGGTGCAGTCCTGTCACTCGAGTTTAACCTTGGTGTGAAAATTGTCGCCTGCTGGCGCGGTGACCAGGTGATTTGGGCAACCAGGACCATGTGACCGCTTCTTCAACCATGTTCGATTGGGAATAAAGGAGGAACGCTGCATCGCAGCCTTTTCGGACCAAAACCAGTCGACTCAGCGTCCAAAAGACTACAACATATGGGCCAATCGCGGTCATCCGTGCTTTTATAAGAACGAAATGGCGCTTTTAGTGACATTTTGCATACAAATCCCCATCTAGTAGGGCGCAGTCACCCAGTTTCGGTGGAAGTGCGCGAGTTCGATTGGGATTCAAGTAGGAAGGGAGCGTCGCAGCTTCCTCGGACCAAGACCATTCGACTCAGCACCCCGAAGACTACAACTGGTGAAAATTTGATTTTAGGGTATACTTCCCCTTTAAAGGGGAAGTTAAGGCAAAAATTAAAATTTCACCAGTTGTAGTCTTCGGGGTGCTGAGTCGAATGGTCTTGGTCCGAGAAAGCTGAGACGCTCCCTTCCTACTTGAATCCCAATCGAACTCGCGCACTTCCACCGAAACTGGGTGACTGCGCCCTACGAGATGGGGATTTGTATGCAAAATGTCACTAAAAGCGCCATTTCGTTCTTATAAAAGCACGGATGACCGCGATTGGCCCATATGTTGTAGTCTTTTGGACGCTGAGTCGACTGGTTTTGGTCCGAAAAGGCTGCGATGCAGCGTTCGCCCCTAATTCCCAATCGAACATGGTTGAACAAGCGGTCACGTGCTCCTGCGTACACCAGTCACCTGGTCACCGTGCCTGCAGGGTACAACTTACAGCCTGTTTTGACCTTTTTTGGGTGCAGTCCTGTCACTCGAGTTGAACCTTGGTGTGAAAGTTGTCGCCTGCTGGCGTGGTGACCAGGTGATTTTGGCACCCAGGAGCACGTGACCGCTTCTTCAACCATGTTCGATTGGGAATAAAGGAGGAACGCTGCATCGCAGCCTTTTCGGACCAAAACCAGTCGATTCAGCGTCCAAAAGACTACAACATATGGGCCAATCGCGGTCATCCGTGCTTTTATAAGAACGAAATGGCGCTTTTAGTGACATTTTGCATACAAATCCCCATCTAGTAGGGCGCAGTCACCCAGTTTCGGTGGAAGTGCGCGAGTTCGATTGGGATTCAAGTAGGAAGGGAGCGTCTCAGCTTTCTCGTACCAAGACCATTCGACTCAGCACCCCGAAGACTACAACTGGTGAAATTTTAATTTTTGCCTTAACTTCCCCTTTAATATTGTGTTCATAAGTGCATCATTGTGCTTCCTCAACGGGACCTTGCTACGTGCACCGCCCGCCCTGCACGTGACTGACGCGAGGGTCACCTACCTGTAATTTAATGTCCTGTATACAATGCAGGATCAAGGATAGTGGACACGTGGTTAGATGTTTGCAGAGCCAGAGTTAAAATTAACACTGACCGAGAATGAGACCGTTTCAGAACGTAATGTGTTCCCGTCACGGTTATGACTTGTGGGTTACAGTTGGCTTGCAAACGTTGGAAGCTGTGTTTTAGCGAATTTATTATACCTAGAAAGACACTGCTATCACTTTGAACTTAGCAAATGCTTTGTAATACATGTATTGGTGTGGCCAGGTTTGGTCATTACTCACTTACTGTTCTGTTCCCAGTTCATTGCTGCTCACAATCATGTCACGTGCATGGTGTGTTTGCAATGACTGTTAGTAGGATTTGCGAATTCAAATAAAGTATACAAACAAACAAACAAAAACAGTACCACGCTCTCTGTATTTTCCTCCCTTTCTGATTGATGATGATTGATTTTATTTGGATTCGCGAGAATTCTCGCTCCTAGTGATTAAGGTGGCAGGCTACCTTCAGAATTGGGAAAAATCGAATTTTTGATTTGAGGTTAACTGTGATACTTTTCTGATTGGGGTAGCCACAAAGCATTAGAATTTAAAATTTTGGGTCAATCGGTCCAGTGGCTCCGGAGTTATAGTGGATTGTAAGTGCGACAATTACAAAATTGAATATGAAAAAATTGCATGAAATTGCAAAAACAATTAAAATTTTCACCAAAGTCATTTTTGCGCTATTTTCATCAATTTCGATCGTAGCGCTCTAATTTTTTGACGCGAGCTAGCGGGCCTCCTCTGTGATCCGTTGCCGCGGCAATCATTTCCAAAATGGCTGCCCTTCATGACGTACGCGAGGTAGACAGTCAGCTGACATCAAAATAAAATTAATGTTGTCAGCGAAGTGTCAGCATGCAAAGCAAATAATTGTTGTAGCTTTGTTTCATCAAGCCTTGTCAGTTTTGTTTTGACATCGCTGGAGACGTAAGCCGTGGTGGATCATCTGCCATGGGTAACAAACGCAAGAGCAGGGTTCTCAGCAGGCCAAAGAAGTGCCTTCCCCCGCGGAAAAGGACTGTCTTGGCTCGTGAAGAGCCCACAACTGAAGTTGGTGATTTGGACGTATTCGTCGCAGCATCTGAGGATGTTGCAAATCAATCTTCCGTGGCATCTGATTCTTGTACTGGTGATTCAAGCGATGAGGTTATGTCCAGCGACGAGTCTGATGATGATGATGATGATGATGATGACAGTTCGGACGAGCACAACAGTGGTAGCAGAATCGTCCACTTGCCATCCCTGACACGTCTTCTTGGCTCATCATGTGTCTGTGCCAACTGCAAGACTGGGTCATTGCTCGTCCAGGAGTCGACTCGATATGGCCTAGCCCCAATTCTTGAGCTTACCTGCGATCATTGTGGGCATGTATTTGAGGGCCGCCTTGCTGAAAAACATACACCAATGCGATTTTATGATGTGAACAGACGTTCAGCAATGGCCATGCGGATGATTGGCAAGGGAAGAGAAGCACTGAGGATGTTCTGTGCCATCATGGATATGTCTGAGCCCATGTACGGACGGTCGTTCCAGTCTCACTGTTCAGCATTGCATGATGCAGCAGTTGAAGTTGGGACAAATAGCATGCGGCACCATGCTGCAGAGTTACTGGCTATGCGGCAAGCGAGTGGATCTGACCATCCGTCACACGTGGCCGTAAGCACTGACGGCACATGTATGCGGCGTGGGTACTCTTCTGTGTTTGGTGTCCAAACAGTAATTGCGTACGACACACTCAAGGTGGTGGATGTGGAGGTGTTATCGAAGCATTGCAACCATTGCAAGGTTTGGGACAACAAACGCGACACGAAGACAGTCACGGCAGCGGAGTTTGCCACCTGGAAGGCTGCACATGCTGACAGCTGCGACATCAACACCAATGTCTCATCGCCAGCCATGGAGACTGCAGCAGTTGTGAAGATTTGGAATCGATCTGAGGCTCTCAATGGCCTTCGCTACACATCCTACATTGGCGATGGTGATTCGAAGGGATTTCAAAAAGGGTTATGCAGACAAGGCCAAAGAGACGGAAGGCGTTACGTACTGTCCTGGTGGTTTTTGAGTGCTAAAAGTTGCCCTTTTTGGGGGGTACCGTGTGACCTTTGGTACACCATATCTCCAGTTTG